GCTTTGTATATGGATGATTCTGAATAATGGACAGAGATGTAGTGACATCCAAATAATGGAAAGATCTGTTAACTGGGAATTTTATTTCTTTCATTTACAATCTTAGTTTATTATTAATACGAAGACACTTGTATAATAATACATTGTACAACTATCTTAGTAAGTACTTACCAGTTACTAGTAAAGTGGTTCAAAACTAATATTAGGGCAAAATAAAAACTATTATAATTGTTATAAATTACATAGTTATTAATAGAAGTTTTAAGCATTAGTTTTAATGATTAGTTATTATTAGTGATAAATGTTAGTAATTTATTAAATATTTTTAATTTCAATAAGCAGTTCTTGTTATCATTTATAAGTTAATATTTTTATAGTGTATGTATGAAGTTTTTGCAAACATGCTGAGAAATTATATTTGCGAGCACTTTCCATTATTGTCTTGTTGTTTAGGATCTGATTTAATGTTGCAATTCAGTTTTCTAATAACTATAAAATATCACTACATAAATGTTTTCAGAAAAGTGTGGCGATTGCCTATATTCAGTATGTGATCACTAAAGTAAGATAATCAATGACAAACTATAGAGTCCAGACATTGGACAAATAGAATAAGTGAATTACTATAGTATGCAACCTGGGGCAACGCAGTGGCACATTTGGTAGTGCAGTCGCCTCACAGCAAGAAGGTTGCTGGTTTGAGCCTTGGCTAAGTCAGTTGGTGTTTCTGTGTGGAGTTTGCATGTTCTCCCCGCATTTGTGTGGGTTTCCTCTGGGGGCCTGGTTACCCCTACAGTCCAAAGACATGCGGTACAGGTGAATTGTGTAGGTTAAATTGACTGTAGTGTATGAGTGTGTATGGATGTTTCACCACAATCAAACTCACCGTCGTGTAGGATTTTCACCGCAATTTGTGACAGTAATAACACACATGGCTTTCTGACGCTACCTGCCGAGTGCATCTAAGTTTCCGGGAAATGTGGAAGGTTTTTTTTTTTTTTTCTCATTCGCCGTGCGATATCAAACATTGCATGAAAAATACACACCCAGAGCGGAGTGGGTGATTGTTGCCCTGCTGTCCTTACTCCTCAATGTTTCCTCCTTGATTCAAATATCTCGTTTATCACAAGGGGCATGAATGAAATTCCTGAATGAAAGAGTCAAACTGCAGTTAAAGTCCACTATTTAATAATTTGCCAACTAATTCGATTACTGATGTCCATGTAAACACAGTCACTGTCTTTCTACCCTGTGTGTGCGTTTTGTGAAAATCAGCCCATGCCCAAACCGACACTCCCATTGTTATGCAAATTTTTACTGATCCTCCCTCTATTGCTCCTCCGACACGCTCACTTTCCTGACTTTTTTTTAAAGTAGAGGTGTGAAAAAACCCTACTGAAACAAAAGGGTTTCATGGCCTTTTTAACAACTGAATTTTCTTTTTTGTGTGAACTAACCCTTTAAACAAACATTTACAGTGCTTCTCTTTGCCTTTCAATGCTCGTTTTGAGTTGCTTGTTGTAATTTCAGTAAAAAACCTCATGAACATATGGCGTCTGGTCTGCTGCTCTGGAATTATGGGTGTTGCATGCAGCGTCACTGGCAGGAAGTCATCAGAAGTAGCTCTTCTCCCAGATAGACAATAGATTGGCCGCACAATAGCCTCCTGGGAACAGTGTCCGAGCTCATCAGGAAAGCCATTAAAAAAACAGTGAGGAGTGAGGACAGCAGGGCAACAATCACACACTCCGCAGTGGGGAAAGTATTTGAGGCCGGCGATGACACACGCTGAGCAGACACACAAACATGAGGAAACTGTGTGAGTCGACGAGTGAGAGGAAAACACAGAGGTCACTGATACACAACAGAGAGAATGGTCATCCAAACCGGGAGGAGTGTCCCGCACACAGATCCCAGAAGAGCCCACAGCAAATACAGCAGAGTGAAGAATGTGTTACTCATCCCACTGAAAGGAAAAACTCCCACTTCCAGGACTGGAGGATTCGGGAATTTCATTCTGCTTCTTCATTCTTGCTAAAGGGATAGGGTCAGGAAAATATGCTGTTTACTTGGGCTATACGAAATGCAGAAAAACTGTTTTTTGGCTGTAGAACAATAAAATAACGTTTAGCTCAGTAAACTTTAACCAAAACATATAAAGAGGGATAGTTAGAATAGAAATTTGTGTTTTCATTTTCTTGTTTAACACAAAGGGAAGACGTGCTGACGAATAGTGGTAAAAAGCAGTCATTGAATCTCATCATTTTTAACTTAAGATGTCGATGGCTGCTTTTATCCGACATTCTTTAGGAAATCTTGTTTAGTGTCCTACAGAAGAAAAAAAACTAAGCAAAATTTTCATTTTTGCAAGAACTATCCCTTTAACACTCATGGTTCCTGATGATACACTGAAGCAAAACAGTCAGCCTGTGGAGAAAATTGTTATTTTATACCTTTAACCCACAGCTTCTGCAAACAGTCCTGAGTGAGTTTATGACAGTCTGAAGCTTCCTTTCCTACAATGATGTGCTCGGGCACAAACTTACACATGATCTGGTATTGTTTGCTTATGGATATGGTGTGCATTGTATCAAACTGGCACCCGTGTACATTCTGGATGCTGCAATTCAGAGTGGAGATCAAAAATAACCTTAAGCAGGTTGTTTGTAAGTTTGACTAAGGGCAAGTGGGCAGCCTCAACAAAAGAGTTGGTCCTTCCTATTTGTGATTTCTAGAATAGTGCATCTTCACAATAGCACTAATGGCCCATTTCCACTGAGTGGTATGGTGCAGTTCGGTTCGGTAGGCTCTTATGGTCATTTCCACTGTCAAAAGGTACCTAAAAGCCAACCGTACTGTACCACTTTTTGGGTACAAGCCAAAATGACAACAAAGAAACCACCATGTTTTAAATACACATTAAATATACATTACACCGTAATAATATATACATATAATAACAAGCCATGGTGGACCCGAGCTTAAACAAACCTTGACGTCGTCTTGATGAACAGCCGCAAAGCCAAGAAGAAGGGCAGAATCTACCCTGTGCCAAGTAGTTTTTTACAATGCCGTCTAAAGCGAGAGCGGTTTTACTTTCTCGCGTGAGCTCGCAGCGCGTCTTTAATTAAAATAACAAACTTCTTGAGCTGATGATAATAACAACGTGTGCATGATAATTGAAATGCTTCGGACATCCGATCCCGTCAGAAATGAACAAACGTGAGAGTGACGCATGAAAAAACAAAGGAGAAGCCCAACAAAACAAAGCAGCAAATGATTCTTTTCAGCAACCTAAAACATGAACAAACCATGTTTACATATTATCTTCACCTTTTGGACTATTATGAATTTGGAATGATGGAAGTCCTCTCTAACAGAGGTTAGACGTGCTGGTGAAGGTTAAAGATACAGATGAGAGGTTTGCACTGACTGTGGGCTATGCTGCATGTTGTTTTTGAACCCAAATATGGACTAAGTGTATGCCTTGTATAGTTTTTCTGTAATTGGTAACATATGAGAGACTGTAAAGGTCTGTATGTGTTCATCTATGTTGCATTTATTTATTTATTTTATATAATTGCAAACAGTACAGTAGGCTATTTTGCATCATTGATCTGCAGTTAACATCCAATCATGTTCATAGAAAGGTCAGTATTGAACATTTATACACAAGTATGTATGTGTATAAAGCATGTTTTGTGAGAAGTGCTTCTCATATGATATGTGAACGGCCCATACAGCTTTAAGCCGGTCGCACACCAGAAGCGCCGCCTGGTTACGGCTCAGGACGCAGTTCATTTTTCAGCTGCGCCACAGAGCGCCATCTGATTAGTTTCATGTTAAATATCATTCGAATGTGCGCGTCTGGTGTGTGATACTTTAAACTGTCATGTGCTCGCCGTGTCGCGGCGCTTCTGGTGTGCGACCTGTGTGAGACATTTTCTCAAGCGAGAGTGACATTGACTTTCTGTCGTACGTACACTACGCCCACCTACCATTAGTACCCTTTTAGGTGGAAACGCAGTGGAAACGCAAGTCTGATAAAGGGGACCTGTTCCTACTTGTATCGTATCATACCATACTGTACCACTCAGTGGAAACGGGCTATAAAGCTCATTTTAACTTATGAGAACGGTCATGAGCATTTATACTTCTGTATTTCATTGCTGTTGGTTTTTACATTTCTATTTCCAATTGTAAGGTTTACATGTTCCACTTTGTTGAGTTTCTTCACACTTTTTCGGTTTACACATACAACATACAGATCTTGTGCCTTCATCTTGACATAGTTACATTCTTGGGCAAGTTGCATTTTAGGGTATGGTGAGAAGTACTTGACTATGTGGTCACTGTTCTCCTTCATAGTATAGCATAATGAAATTGCTTTCAATCTTGAGACAGTCAAGCTATTGTATAACGATAGTTTGTTCTGTGGACTATCGAAAAACATAGCTTAAAGCGGCTACTAATTCTGACCTCAAAATGGGTTTAAAAAAAATTCAAAACTGCTTTTATTCTAGCTGAAATAAAACAAATAAGACTTTCTCCTGAAGAAAAAAAAATATGATCAGACATAATGTGAAATTGATCTTGCTCTGTCAAACATTATTTTGGAAATATTTAAAAAAGAAAATCAAAGGGGAGGTAATAATTCTGACTTCAACTGTACATTATTGATAAATTGCTCACTAGCAATTTATTGATCTTCACTGTATATGAAAAGTAGTTATACTTTTGCTCATAAGACCTCAATGTGTGTCAGGAGCCACGGGTATTAATTTAATTTGCCCGAATATGTTTTTCAAAGTGCAGATAGTAGTTAATTTGAACTCTCCCATTAATCAAGTCGAGTCAGCAGACCACCAAACTACCAATCTAGAATTTCTGATCATTCTGCTTTTGGTTTCTGGGGGAAAGTTGAAGAGATGCTGACTCATAACAGGGCTGAATTTCCACATGTTTATTTCTGGCTAACAAGACCAAAAGAACAGGAATACTGCCTGGAAAGAGTCTTTATTATACTATGATGTTCTGGAGTAGCGGAGGGATGAATAATACTGAACCAATTGAAGCAAGAGGATGTGGGTTAAGAACAAATTATTTAGTCAGCTTACATTTTCATGTGGTGAGAGTAAAAGTATAATGATGCGAGTCTTTCCTGTCAAGCATTCACAGTCCACTTGGTTAAAATAGCTTTATTCAATATGAAAGACTTATGTTAATAATAAAAAAAATGTAAAAAAAAAATCACAGTAAATTATCTCATTTATAAAAAGCGAAATGCAATATTTGTTGTTTTCCTGCCTGAGCACTCAGTAAACTGTAGGAAACACGGGAAGGGAATGAATTAAGCTCCTCTTTGTGGAACACAACAAAAGAAGCGTCTTTGAAATCTAAAGGCCACACATGACTTGAAGTCTATCAGAGTAAAATAGAAAACAAACTACAACAGTAAAAAACAGACTGATAACAGTAGCTGCCACATGACACATGGCTATTCCCGTCGAGTTAAAACTGTGGAAGCGTCTCGTCCAGTCTATTTGAGAAGTAATACTTTTTACGGCAGAAACGGTCAAGCTTGTAACATGTTTTTGATTTGCTTGGAGGTAGACTCATCGTTCAAATGTTTCGTTGTGTACCTGTGAGAGTCAAGAAAGAAATGCTCTGAAAAACAATACATAAGACACGGCAGCAGAAATATACACGTTTGAACTAACAATGGTAAACGCCTTCAGCATTGTGCCTGTTTACACACATTACAAGAGGCTTTTGGGTGCCTGAAAATGAGAATACAGCTGAACTTATGATAGTAATTTTATTTGTGTTTCTATTTTCTATTATTATTATTGTTATATCGTTGTCAAAAAAATCCTGGTAATTTGTTGGCACCAATTGCCTTGTGGCAAAATATTACACGTTTACTGAACAAATTCCAGTATGCGCATTAAAATAGTCTTGTATTTGATCATGTTATAATCAAAAAGTGTGTGAATGGTCAAACCAGCAGGCTGAGCACATTGTAAAACATCTAAAATGTTGCTCTGGTCATTCTAAAATGCCTTAACCATTTCAGTATAAGTGTTTTATATTATTGATGACCTCCAGAATCAAGAGCGTCTGTGCTCCACGTCTCACGCCTTTAAACGCTACCATGCACTCATTACATGTCAGCATTTGTCTTCTAAGGCGCAAGTCAATTATTAAATTAAGAAAAGATTCATGAAGCTGAATATACTGTTGATATTCGGCGCCAGTTAATCAGGAAGTGACGATTTGGTTCACTTTAACTCATTGGATGGAAACGCTGCTTTATTCACACATCTTTATGCGATATTCAATCTTAGGATGGAAACATAGCTACTTTTAATGATTTTTGTAAATTAGACAGTATTTAACGGTAATATGAACTGTATTTTACTGTAGGACAGTTAAGCAGTATGTTACTGTATTTTAAAGTTACATTGTGAAAATTAGGCCCGTCACGATATCTGTTTTTTGTTGTACGATATATTGCACCAAAATATATTGTGCTAAACAATATTATTGTCATTTTAAGACCATTTTATGCCACTCATTATATAATACCAGAATGACAACATGATATCACAATGCAAGTAACACTCTTCCAAAGAACACATAACATCTTATTCTTAAGAACATATAATTTTATAGTCTTTTTAACAGTTTAATATTTATGCATTGGAATCAGAATGTGAAAATGCATATCCTAAACAAATAATAATAAATGACTGCGATATATGCTACCAGATCTATCTTCAGTTTTCAGGCACCCACATAAAAATATACTTATTTATAGTAAATATTGGTGTTTTTTTTTACCATACTTACACTGATACCTCCAATCGAGAAAGCTGAAATGTTGCTAGAATTGGTTATGTATAGACGATATATATTGCATCACCAAAAATGATGAGGTCATGTCCATGTATTGTGCGGTGAGTCAATATATTGATTATTGTGTCAGGCCTAGAGAAAATTACTGTATAATTTACAGTAAAAATATACATACAATACTGTAAATACATATAGAACAAGATTGATTTACAGTAAATATTTGGCAAACTGCTTCCGGTACGTGTCTGTAGATTTTACAGGAAATTGGTAACATTGCATCACAAAATATATCTTTAAAAAATTGTCAATATCACAGTTAATTTGTTTTTTTTTTAACATTAAAAAGCACTTAATATTTAAAAGTGCAATTTCTCTGATCAGATACAGAAGATATTTAAAATAACAGGTGTAAATGACCACTGGAACTCATTTTTGATGGATTACAGTGCACCTTTAGGAGTGTAAATGCATCTGCTTGTTGAAAGTACATTTATAAATTGTACTTTTTTCCAACATAGTAAAAACAAAGCTGTCTTGTGTGTGTCCATCAACACTTACAGTGTGCAATGTTATATAGCATAAGTAAAGCAAACTAACCTGAGGGCATTGAGTAGCCCCTCCACACTGTTGGCCGGCTGATATCGCAGAACTTTAATGCATCCTTTCATCTGTATCACATGAAGACAGACAATTACATTATGTACTTCATTCATTCAAGCTACAATTACTACTAGACTTAAACAAGTTGCTTTAAATAAATGTTTTTTTCATTCTGAATAATTTTTTGTTCAACAAACTGAACGAAATCAGGTCTGTGTGTGAAATAGCTATCAATAGTAGCAAGTTTGCATGTTAATTGTTGTTAAAGTAAGAAGAGGACAATGTCAGAATTGGAATTTCGACAGTTATTACTCATTGAGAGAAACAACAAACATTTATTTTGGTCAATTATGCCACCAGCTTTGCTTCTTGACATTATATTAACACATTTGGTAGACACTTTTATTCAAAGCGACTTGCATTGCACTGAAAGAAGCTGCAACATCAGTGTTGCAAGAATACTTCTGCACAGTCGTAACATAACATCTTTCACTGAAATTCTACTAAATGTCCAAATTAAGAGAAGATTAAACTCTCTACTTAAATCGCTCAACTAAAAACAAATATTAAGCCTTTTGTGACAATCTTTCCTTCTTAAAATTTTATCGGGTAAAGAACCGTTCATGATAATTTGAATGACCTTAGTTACAATGTGATATACAGTTGAAGTCAGAATTATTAGCCCCCTATAGATTTATTTTCCCAATTTCTGTTTAACAGAGAAAAGTTTTTTTTTTCAACACATTTCTAAACATAATAGTTTTAATAACTCATTTCTAATAACTGTATTCTTTCATCTTTGCCATCATTGACAGATAATATTTCACTAGATTTTTTAAAGATACTTTTGTAAAGTTTAAAGTGACATTTAAAGGCTTAACTAGGTTAATTAGGCAAGTTAGGATATTGTATAAGGATGGTTTGTTCCGTATACAATATAAACATTATATTGTTAAAGGGGACTGATAATAACAACCTTAAAATGGTTTTAAATATATTAAAACGTTTTTATTCTAGCCAAAATGAAACGAATTAGACTTTCTCCAGAGGAAAAATATTATAGGAAATACTGTGAAAAATCCCTTGCTCTGATGATCATTATTTGGGAAATATTGTAAAATGAAACACCAGGGCTAAGAATTTTGACTTCAATTGTAAATATTTTTTATTCATAAAAGTAATAACCCCCATTAATAATCCAGGGTTTTTCCAGTGAATATTTTAATGACAACCCCATAAAAGGTTAATGCAATCCTATTTTATTCAAATAATTTGAACATGCAGTGAAATAATTACATTTTGAATTTGGTAATTTCGTTTGCTTGATTAATTTAGTAAGTATTAAAGGGCACATAGTTTATCCCTATTTTATGATTTAAAATTAATATTATGGTTCTTCTGAGTTTGCCAGTTTAGGTTCAGTTCAACACACAGTTTAGATGTTTTTATCATAATGTGTTTAAAAGTGTCATGTTGGGGGCGTGTACACAGCTCGTTGTTTTAGGGGCATGTTGCTTTACATGAAAATTAGTTTCGGCTTCCCGCCCAACATAACAAGGGGGCAGATCCAAAAGCTCCCACGCTCTGTGTTTGCAACAGACAGGCCGACAGACATAGAGAGAGAAGCTAAGCTAAGCTAGGATCAGCATTCAGCCATAAATGTACGACTCGGACACAGACCAAGCAGCGAGTACAAAATCATTTGTGTCTTTGTATAGTTTGTATAGTCTCGGTGTACAAGTGCCGAGATTGTTCACTGAGACTGATGCAAGAAACTGAGAATTTGATCGTGACGCAAGGCTGTCAATCAATATTGGTGGGCGGGGGGACCACTCTAAAAACCGATCCAATTGGTCCACCGTTTTTATGTTGTTAAATTGAAAAAAAAAATAAAGGACTGTGTGTGTTTATATCACCCCAATATGATAGTCTATACACTATATATACACACATGTCTGTCCAAGCAGCTTGAAAAGTAAATTTTTCACCATAGGTGCCCTTTAACACTTCTTTTCATTAAATCTAAAAAGACTAAATTAAATGCTTGCTTAATCTTGTTTTATCTTTTTAATGTTTTGTCTTAAATTGACAGCCCTAACTATAAAACACAATTTGATCAAATAATCTGTTCGTTGATGCCAGTAAATAATTTTCAAAAAGCAGAATAAGGCATACATCGATTTTGGAGGATTTGACGAATGCTCCAGCCGGATGAACATAGTCGTAAAGGATGATCACTCCCACCATCACACGCAGACAGAATAACACTGTGTCCTCACTGGCAAAACGACTGCGGTACTCCCTGATCAATACACACACACACACACACACACATACAGAGAAACAAAGAGAGAGGATGAACAACAAAGACACACCCCATTCCAGAAGAAACAATGATTAAACACAAAAAAAGTCAACTCACGGTGTCTCTAACATGACTTTACACACACTTGCCATCGTGCTCAGACAATCTGTTGTGTTCTCTACAGGTAGTTCTGCATGCTGATCACATAGACATAGAGAGCAGAATGTTGCAGGAGCGTGTATTCATGAGCATCTGGACTTGTTTACTTAACACCTATTTGAGTGATCAGAGCTGCGTATTGGATATCACACTCAGTAGAGTTGACCAAACACCTACCTTTGATACAAATTTAGTCGTGGCATCGCTTAACGTTTTCAGCATGGGCGTGGCATTGGCGTAGAAGAGAGACATGCGATTGGCCAATTCGTTGTCGACCTCATTATGCTCCTCTGCCTGCAGAAAGAACACACATGGGGGGTTTATAGTATCTAAATGTGGAGGAGAAGATAAAAATCCATACTTTTTAAGATTTAAACTAAAGGGGTCAGTTGAGGGAGGTTACGGATGCTCTTTTACTTGGTCAGCTTTTACTTAAGTAGTTAATCATGGAAATGGAAGTGGAAATTGGGCATTCTGGGTGTGCTGGAAAGGCATTTTAGCTGACTTGAAACATTTCATTCATTACAGTATGCTAAAAACTGAATGTAAATCCTGCGTTTAATCCACAGACTGCAGACATGTCCAGAATTCCTAATACATGCTCCTTCACAGCCGAGCTCATGTTTCAGAGGATGAAAGCGCCTGTCGTAATTATTCCTCACAGAGAGTGCTTTTAATTGGCGAGGCAAGGTCAACGATCCTCTGTGTCAAACCCTGCTGAGCCGCTCCCTGATGATACAGCACGCGCTAATGAGACCAGAGCCGTTAGTGCACGTTAGACCGCCTCACCGTCAGCGAACACACTTCAGCTCTGTGTCAGCTAAAAGATAAAAGCGAGTAAGAAGGAGACGTACAAAATAAATATCAAGATGAAGCCAACAAGATGTGTGTGTGTGTGTGTGTGTATGTGGTGTTTTCCCTGAGTCAGGATCTTATGCCACCTAATGATCCAGACCATTAGAGAACAGAAGTGCTCCCGTTAACCCCTGTGACACTGGCAATGGCGTAGTACTAAAACATTAGGCGTCTGATAATGAGGTGCATTTCCATAGAGAGACGCTTTACTCACAGTTTGGTTGATGATGCGCATGCGGCTCAGGGTTCTTCTGTAGTAGCTGAAGTCATTCTGGATGGCCGGGTTGGTCATCTGGCAAGAGAAAGTGGAAAAGAATATCAGAGAAACATTCTACCCAAAATTCAAGCTCATTTACCTTAAATTCAAAAGGTTAAACATAAGCTATGTTTCCATCCACCTATTTTTCTGCGCATTTTGGATAAGCACATAAGCGATTGATGGAAATGCCAAGCTGTGCATACATTTTGAAAATACAACTTAAAAAACGTATGTGGATAACTGAGTAGGATAAACCTTTTTATTCGATAACATACGCATAAACTATGATGATATGATGTTTTTATCCAAAAACGCAAATTAAATGTATGCGCAAAACTGGATTATCGTATAAAAGACTTGCAAATACAGCAGTGTTTTCATTCAATGAGTCAAAGAGAACAAAATAGTCACTTCCTGATTAACCGGCGCCAAATATCATGAGTAAAAATGGAATTTGCTGTGGTAGGAGAAACTGCGTCAATCGTTATCTAATAAATGACTTGCTCCTCAGAAGACAACATTAACATGCCATTGCTCTTGACAGTTCTGGAGGTAATTAATAATATAGTAACACTAATACTGAAACAGTTAGGCGTTTAAGAATTACCAACAAAACATTTCAGATGTTTAACAATTTATACACATTTGATCATTACATGATAACATGATTTTTTTTTTTAATGCGCATATTGGAATTTGTTTGGTAAAAGTGTTTCCATTGTAGTATATGCGCATCTTTTCTGATCGAATAAAAGTTTATCCTACTCAGTTATGCGCATATGTTTTTTATGCACATTTTCAAAATTGATGAACATGTTGGCGTTTCCATCAAGCTTTTTATGCTTTCAGATAACATCCGAAATGTTGTTTTGGTCATTCTAAAATGCCTTAACCGTTTTAGTGTAAGTGTTGTTATATTGTTAATTACCTCCAGAATTGTATAGAGCGTCTGTGCTGACACCACCTCGTGTTCATTGCATGTCGACATTTGTCTTTTGAGGTGGAAGTCAATTATTAAATAAAGAAAAGATTCACCCAGCTTCTCCTACCACAGCAAATTCCATTTTTACTAGGTATTTGGCGCTGGTTGATCAGGAAATGACAATTTTGTTCTCAGTAGCTATGTTTCCATCTGCCTATATTTCTGCGTATTTTGGAAACGCAAATCTTAAAAAACAGTTGATGAAAATGCCAAGATGCGAATAAATTTTGAAAATGCGCATAAAAAATGGTTGATGGAAACTGTCGGCATAGTCTTTCGAGGTAGAATCAACTTTTTATTTGATAAGAAAAGATGCGCATAAACTTTGATGGAAAGACTTTTACCGAACAAATACAAGTATGCGCATTAAAAGAGGCCATGTGATTTTGTTATAAGAGATCATGTGATTTTAAAAAATGTTTGTGAATGGACAAATCAGCAGGCTGAGCACACTGTTAAACATCTGAAATGTAGTTTTGATCATTCCAAAATGCTAGTATGAGTATTATTATATTATTAATTACCTCCAGAATTGCGGAGGACGTATGTGCTCCACATCTGAAGCCTTCAAACGCCACCATGCAAGTCATTTATTATATGACAAAAAGATTCAAGCAGTTCTCCTACCGCTGCAAATTCCATTTTATTGTCAGCAAGTGATGATTTTCTTTTATTTGACTCGTTGGATTGAAATGCTGCTTTATTCGCACATCTTTTATGTGATATTCCTGTTTTGGTATTCCTTCATTGTGTTATGTCACCAACTGTAGGGATGCAACGATTATAGATTTTGGTTGTACGATTATAGTCTGAGAAATAATCATGGTTATCATGATTATTATGCATTTATTAATTTAAACCCCACTAGTTTAGAAAATAGTATGAAAACTCATATTTTACAGTGTTATTTATTGCTGCTCAGTAACTAATCAATAACGCACAAAATAATATAAAAAAACAAACAATAGTACATTTCTCTCTTTGTGCTTAATAAGTGAATGTTTTGGACACTTTAACAATAAACTTTATACTGTAAATAAATGACAGAACAATAAATAAATAAATAAATAAATAAAAATAAGAATAAATAAAAAACAGTATTTGTCTAATGGGCTTGAAATTGGCGGTGCTCCCAACTTCAAAACTGTAGAAGCATTAGAAAAAAATTAAGAGGACCAAAAATTAATGACCACTACTGCAACTTGTATATTAACGGATTAATTTTATTTGAAAACAACATCAGTTAGAACTAAATAAAACAGAAACAACTATCTAACTAATGCTGTGATGAAGTATTGATATTTGCGCAATAATTCCAAAATTAATGTCTGGTAATTATAAATGATCAATGACGACGAAGATGATAATAACACTAACAATGAATTACGTTTGTCATTATTTATTTTGCACTATTGTTTTATATGCATTTCAATTTAATAAACAGAAAGAACGGACAAAAGAAAGGAAGAAAATTCTTAACTCTGCACCTCTTTAAAAGTTTTGGTTTCGGTTTGTTTATTTTAAATGCTCAGTCTCGTTCATTTCTCTGTGTTTGTGGAAAAAAGCAGGTAAGTCAGCTGATCCATATTAGGGGAGCAGAGCAGGATTCTCGCAATTACCACCAGCGCAATACCGCTGTCATGAGCTGCATGAGCTGTCATGAACTTAGTAAAGGTGAGCTTTTTTGGCGATGATGTGTAGTGTTAGATTTTACATTTAGCGGACATTTGCGCTGAATGCGCGGTGAATGCAACGTATCAAGATTCAGGCCATTAAAAAGCGGATCCACTCCAAGTCTTTCAGCGCTCTCTCCGAAACCACTCTGTTGATCTCGGCTAGTGGATTAACATTCACCACATCTTAATCGATCTTATCGGCGCCATTATTTGTACCTTTAAGTGGGTTTGCAACCGGTGTACTTTTCATGTACTGCTTTTCTCAGACTTCAGCTGTTGGTAGTTGGTAGTTCGCAGTCACAAAAGCACCCTTGTCATCCCAATAAGGTGCGCCTGAAGAGCGTGAGCGCCCTGCGTCGCGTGCGCGTCCCTCCATTGGAAATAACGAATTTTCACCAGCTTGTCTTAGTTAATAGCCTAGTTAATCTAGTGTGCATGGTTATTAGTCTCAGCGACAAACTTACGCACAGTTGGCATAACTGTTAAGTTTTAGCAGTTTTGTTCCGTGCAGAAATGCGGTGTTGAGAAGCCTTTACGATTAATTAACCATGACTCATTAAAGCTTGGTTAATAGTGAAACGAATGTTCCCTAATGTCTGGTGTGTCAGTGTTATGTTGTGCCATTTTTCCATATGCTTGTGTTGATGTCATGTGACTCCTTTGTTCTGTTTCCCGCTATTCATTAATGTGTATTAGTTCCACCTGTGTCTCTCCCGTCAGTTCAATTTTGTCTTGTGTATTTAGTGTGCAGTTCATTCTTTGGCCAGTATTGTTTGCCACACTCCCTGTCCAGTGTTTGATGTTTCCTGTTCCAGTTCCTGTTGTGAGTTTTAATATTGTAAATAAATGTGTTTTTTTTTGATAACTCCTGTGATCTATGCATTTGTAGAGTGAGAGACCTATGACACTCACATCCTAACCCTAAACACCCTAACTTAAACCGCACCACACATGTACTGTTTACATTAAATCAAACATATGTAAACAAATGAAATACTGTAGTAGTAAAAAAAAAAAAGCATAATAATACATAATACAACAATAAGAAAATAGTATATTTTAAAGTGCAGTAGGTGATGTGAAACATGTTTTGTTGTGGTAGTTGAAAGTCTCTTCACATTCCAATAGTAATGATTAAAGTAAATGATCTAAATGCATTTATATGTGTTTTTATATTCTGTGTAAGGCATAAGGATAAAAAAATGTTCATCCAATAAGAAATTGTCGGACTGACAATTCCCATAATTCTGACAAGTAGCACAAACTGTCTATCAAAAAATTTAGATTTGTATATCTGCGCAACTTTGTTTATGCAGATCTGCCATCAGCACGTTCATGTGCAGAGAGCTGTAAAAACATGCTGAATCAAAACTTTTTAAAATCCTGAATCAATATTGGAGTTACTTTTGCACACTGAAGGAAAGGTTGACACCATGGCTGAAGTGTTTCTGTTAGACAGGTAATGCTATGTTTTAAAAGTATTTTAGTCACGCAAAGCTGATGTAGATTGTGTTGTTTTGAATGGGTTATATGCACAGAAGTGTTGTTCAGCCACTGAAATCCTCCAGGGAAAGATTATTGTGACTAATTTAAGTTTTATAAGGGACCTTTACATTGATAATACAGCATTGATAATGTAGATTATTATTTAGTTTAACAACAAAACATCAGTAAATAGTGCTATTCAACCTAGCCTGCTTTACTGAGGTGAAGCTGGTTTTATATTCACATTAGTTTATTTTTTAACAATGACCACCTGTGATCCGCTTTCTATATTGTGTACTATGAATATTAGGTCTGAAATAGCATGTAAGTATGGCTTAGTAATAAGTGTAATTCCTACACACCGCTGTCCAACCACTGAGCATACAGTAGGAAAGCGTGTGAGAGAGAGACCAGCAATCCTTGCATGCATGAAATATTGCACATTATGACAAGTTTTGCTTTCTAACTACACAACTGAAAACGTGCTAGATATAATACAGTTTTTCATCAGAATTGTAGTATAATAAAGTACTATAACGTTTTATAACTGCCGAATGACATGATCTAGTAGGTAGTCTACTGTCATCTTTAATGAGCGCATTAGTGATTTCAGAATGCGTGGCTTTAGACAGCAGGAAAAGGATTGTGTTTCAAACATATTATGCTAACCAGTTAGCATTTAGGCAGATCACTTACTGCACCTTTAACAATCAATATTTTAGGATTCATTTATAACAGTCTGGAATTCAGCTGTAGATGTGAAGGAATGGCAGAGGTTTTTAGACTCTCCGTGTTTGATTTTCTTTTTTATATACACAATTATGGCGTCAAACTGTTGTATAAATGCAATTATCTCACTCGTAGCAGTGCAATATGGCTCAACCCACGCC